CCCCCCGAGATTTCTATGTGCTTTGACGTCATGTGTGCTCCTTTCAGTTGCCATAGCAGCCCCATTCCCCAAGCTCTCTGCCTGTCTCCTCTGGTAGGTTCCACAATGGTACAGCCAGCATCACGCTGCACAATGGTTTCCAGGCAGTGAAAGAGCGTGATTCAGCAAGCCACTCTCTTTTTTTTTTTTCCTTTTATTTCGTTATTATCAGACGTTTTGGCTCCCCTTTTTCCATTCTGCTTTACCTGTTCCCCCAGGCTTTTATTTAGTTCTTGAAAGAAAAAATTAATTTTCCTTGAATGCAGCTGCCTCTCTTTTTATTTTTATTATCATCATTAATAATAACCCATCTTTTCCTCGGCCCTGTTTGGAATGTGGTTTAAAAATACCACCTAAAATCGCAGTTTGGGGAAAAGGTTGCTGGACGAGAAGAATATAGTTCGCAAGCACGGAATGGTAGGTTGATGATGCTAATATTCTATGACTAACCTGCTTTTGCAGGGTGGGGTGATGAATATTGATTGCTGCTTGAAAAAATGAGAGGGGGGAGAGAGACGGAGCGGCAGGTTAATGAAGTAAACCGCTAACTGAAGCAGGAAGGCTGCAGCAGTACATATTTTGTGGCCAGAGGACCATCGTCGTCTTGTGTTCGGGTGTGTATGAGCTTTTCTGTTTGGGCACTTCAGGTGACTGGTGGTGGTGAGAGCGATGCAGAGGCACAGCACGGACAGGAGTGATAGTGCTTTAACAGCTGGCTCATGTAAACAGTAGTGTTTTACCTAGCCTCATCGCTGCTAATACTGCTTGGGGGTTTGGGGAGGAAGGAGGAATCTTGGCTTGCAATTTAGTAGAAATGAATAAGTTATGTGGGTTATATAGTTTGTGTAGAGCCATATAAAAATTGAGTTTGTAAGAATGACAAGAGAGGGTAACGATCAGCAGCTTTAAGATCTAGAGGACAGAAATCTCGGCCTTTTGCAGAGGGGCTGAATTCGAACAAGAAAAGGAAGTGTGGTGGGGGGGAAGAGATTGTTTGAAAAACTATGTTGATGGGCTGAATGTGGGGGCTGTGAGGGGCCGTTATAAGAAAGTGGTCTCTTAAGGTAGGCATCCCTCTACTGCATAATTCCCAGGTGCAAGCGAACAAACAAGCACTGCGTTTTATGGAACAACCAAGAGCTTATAGGAAAAGTGTTTACAGCACGCTACAGGGCAGTTATTTTGCGAAGGAGAATTCAACACTTGGTAGACGCTGCAGTGAAATCAATGTTGCTTTGCAGGGAAATCATCTGGCAGCTATTGCTGTAGGAAGAAATGTTTTGTTCTTTTCTGCAGAAAGGCTTTATTAGCAATAATACAAATTTTACTTGGATGATGAAGTGTGACAGCGTTGCTTAATAAGCATACTGTGCTTCCAGTGAACTACAGTGGGCATGTTCCATGGCTTCACGCCTTGAGTGATTGTAAGCTTGTTTACATGGATTCTTTTTGCTGCATAGCTTTACGATATCCTCAATGCAGGCTTCTCCTTCTCTGATGCATTCACTCCGAGTTTTGCAAGAGACCTTTTTAAAGGCAGACCAACGTTATGTGAAAATACAAAGTTTGAAAAGGGAAGGGAAGGCACGGAGTGGGTGGCAGTTTTTAAGAGGAAAATGTAAACTGATATATTGTTTGTGTGTGTTCGGGTTTTTTTTTTCTTGTTCACTTTGTTTTGTTTTTTTTCTTCTTTCCTTCCTTCCTGAAATAAGCTTCCTGGAGGGCTCAGAGCTTATCATGCAAGTCAGCTTTGGAAAAAGGGAAAGGTTAAGATACAGCAGAGCGGTCTTGTGTTTCGCACCTCTTGTGTATTGCACCGGGCTGTTTGTCTTTGCTCGCATGTAAATTACCTTTGGTTACCTTACCTTGAGGACTGTCAAGTGTGCCAAACCTCTTACCTTTTAACCCTGTGTTGGAACATTACTCCGTAGCCCCTGACCGGGGCTACCAAGGAGCGAAGTGTTTTAATCTCTGGGGTTCCTGCTCTGTGCTCACTCTTCGTACTAGAAAACGTGCCATAAAATATCTTTTTCAGTTGACTTGACAAAATTCCTTTCTCTTCTGGGGGCACAGCTGTGAATGACAAAGGTGATACAATCTGAACCATTAAACAGTGTTTTCACTCCCTGACTCTCAGTAACCTGCGTTCTCACACGCTGCTCTGTCCTGCTGTTACAGAGCATGCGTAAATTGCCAGGATCCTGTGGTTATTATGGTTTTGTTGAGCTTTAGGCTTGCAGAGATGCTTCTAAAAGGGGTAAGGGCAAAAATCACTTGATGTGGAAAAATTAGTTGCCCTCAGCTGCCTGTTTTCCTGCTCAGTAATAGAAAATGCCCCTCTCATTGTTAGTAATACACATGTATGCTAGAAGGGGCTTTTTATGAGCAGACCTTGGGGATTTTTTTTTCTCCTGTAAATGGTTGACACATCTCTAGCCATTATTTAAAGACTTAATAATACTGGATCAATAACTGTAAGGCCAAGTATCTTCCGGAGGTGTTCAAATGGGAGATCTGACTTTTAAAAAACAATGGAAGAGCTACCAGAATTTCCCTGCTGTGGTATTTGGCGTGTTGTAAGGCCCGCTCCTAGTGTGTGGTCTGTTGTAAAGCTCATGCAATTTAAAGGAGAGCTAAGGCAGGCCCAAAGGAGTGGGATGTTGGCGTTGTTCTTGCACGCAAAGTTATATTTTTATTAAGATTTGGCAGGCAGAAAAAAATGAATTCAGAGAAAGATTTTCAGCTTTGAAATTTTCAGTCTCTGAAACTGTAGTTCAGTGCAGACTACGCCATTACTTGCATAACTCCTGAACAGCAGAAAATATCACCTTGTTGATAAGCCTTCAAAACAAAGCAAGTCTTTAATGTGTTTATTATGGCAAGCACTCAGTAGCCATAGAGCCTTTCATTCCTCTGGTTTCATTTTGCGCTCATAATAGCCCTGTTAAAATTACGCCTCACAAGTGTAGTGATTGCAGTGTTGAGCATTGTTGTGGCTCTGTTATGTTATCAGGAGAAAAGGAGAGACTTCATTGGACTGCTATACTAAATGAAAATACAAACTGGCTTCCTGCATTCATGCGCTGCTACCCTTTTCTGTGGTTCTTGCAAGCTCCCTGTTTTGAATCAGGGCACCTGCAAGAATCATTAACTCAGAAAAGGCACCCGTTTAAAACCAAAAATGTTGCTTTTGCTGTCAGGTCTTTTTCTTCAGTTTCTTGCAGCACCATCTGTGGAGACAGACATCTGAAAATTTTTCATAGAAACAAAACATCTTTTGTACTCAAGAAACCTTGTTTGTTTAAAACTGAAAGCAAAGTACAACTTCATTAGTGTGCAATATCGGGTATTGAGATTGTGTTTCCTTTCTTTTCTACTTTGATAATGAGATTCAAGTATAGATTGCAAGCAGTATAGAGGACAGGACAGAACTTAATTGTCCCCAGTCCACTGATTTCAGAAATTTATAACTTGGCAATCCATTTTCCATGAGTGGTGATACTTTGTTTTCTGAGGAGCAGTTGTGGCTAGTTCTTTAAGAGAGCAGGAAGGGAACCTCAATCTTTTTTTGTTGTGGTTTGTTTTGATTTAGTTGTGTTGTGTTTTACTTCATAGTGTTATTTTTAATAAAGGATTTTTCACACAAGCTTACTGATGGCAGTGGAGCCTTCCCCTGGGGAAGGGATATGAAGGTCACAAGCTTCTCTGTGCCTTAGGATGGCCCGGACTATGCCTGGAGCGTAGGACAGAGTCACAGCACCTGTCACAGGTAGAAAAATTAAAAGCAGCTGTTGTATTTCCATACTTTCAGGCTTTTCTCCTCTTCAGGGAAAAGAAGAGGTTGATGGTTGCATTAGTACAGATCCTTGCTTACATCACAGCGATGACACTGAGGGGGAAATTTCATGTTGTTTTAATCTTGTGTAGTTACTTTGCGCTGTGGTTGGCTTACCGAATGTCCTGTTACAGCACTGTCACAACCTTCTTCTTTGGAATATACAGTAAAGGTAGAAAGCTCAGAAGAGGGAAATACTGATTCCAGTCAAGTCAATGGCTGTCTCACGAGGTTTTCATGCTAGAAAGTCAGACACTTTGGGAAATTAGGGACAGCTAATTTCAATGGGACTTCAGGGAGTCTGAGTGTGTGCAGATCTTGGCTGACTTCAGTGAAGTGTTGTGGGCCCACTCTCATTAAACCGTTCTTTTTGCATGAAGATTTTTAATCTTCTGGTCTTGCTACCAAGTTTCACAGTTCAGTTCTCCTTTGGGCCGTCTGAAAACGTTGCCTGAATCTTAGGGACATTTCACTGATGACTGCATCTGCCTTCCATTTTAAATTAGCTGCCTAGTTTGCGTACCTGGAATTTTTGTCACAGACTGGATCCCAAAATGGTGCCAGTAATGGGAGAATGGTAGGTGTAGTAGCAATTTTCAAGACCAGCTACTGAGATGGCTGTGCAGTTTTTATCTTTACTCCTTTTATTTGCTGTTATACCACAAGTCTTTACACTTGTTGTTTACCCTATCTCTTCAGATAGTCTGTGAGTTTCTTAACTGCAAGCACTTCATTGTTTGTATGTGCTTTGTCATGGGGAGGGTGTTGGTGGTTTTTTTTTTTTTTTTTAGAGGATGCTAATATGATAAGCACAGCAATTCACAGATCTTCTTTTATGTCTCTATGTATCTCAGAAAACTCATAAAGATATTCATAGCATTTGTGTTGCCAATTCACATGATCGCAAGTCCTTCAACTTTTAACTTAAAACCAGAAGTATTAGAGAAAAGTGACTGTGTATGAATCTCAACTTGTTTTAGTGAAAGTTTGTGGTCTTGATTTCCTGCCTCCTCCTCCCCGCAAGCCATGACATGTCTTCCATTGAAACAACACTTAATCCTGCATTACTTTCTATCTTTAGTGTTTTTTTTTTTTTTTTAAATGAAAGGGAGCAAGCTAACGACTTGTACAGATGCTGTCCCCAGCTGAATGTGTTACGGTGATATCATAAAATCTTTAGTTTCTGTTACATGATGTGCTACTATTGACATTTCAGGTTTGCTTAGTTTTCTGAAATTATTCTGTGTATATCTAGCTTTAAAGATTACAAACCAAGTATTTTTTTTTCTCTGTTTTGTCTTTAGGGCTAGTATTAGAAACCTGTACCTGCAGCAGGCCAGATTCAAATATCAGCTATGGCAACCCATGTATGAAGTTGACCCCTTTTCAACCATTTCCTATAGATGAGACATAGCACTCGCTGTGGTGAGTCAACAGTGGATTGTTTTATTAAATCATACTTTGTGATAAAATAGTGCCTAGTGCCAAAGTGCATGCATATATATATAAAAATATATAAATATATATATGTATAAAGCTTGAAAACTCTAAGTTCTAGTATTTTTTTAGTCCTCATGAACATGATGCTTTCTTGTTATAAAAGAACACTTGACGTGTCACTTCTGGGTTGTACAGTTATTAGATGAGACATGCTGGGAGAATTGTTTTGGTGAAGGTGTGGCGATAGCAAAGTAATTAAGAAAAAATTATGTATGCAATGTTCTGGACTTGATATGACTGCTAGTTTGTGCCGTTGTTCATAATTGTGGTTTTCTATCTTTTGTGTTTTGGGGAGGGGAAAAGAAGGTAATTTTATTTCTCAGGCTGTAAGATGACTGAGAAAGAGTGAGGAATCCTGACAGGGCTTATTGGCATAAACCTCTGTATTCTTGGGCAGGAAAATAGTGTGAGAATAGTGACAAAAAGCAAGTAATGTCTAAAAGATCCTGTGACTTCAAGCATCTCTAACTCTGCTAATAATTTTGATGAAGGTTTCATATGTAAAATGTCATTTTGATCATGATAGCTTTCAAGTTAGATTATTTTGGTTTACCTTTGGGTTAGGAGCAGCTATCTTCAATGGTCTCATGTACTCTTACAATACTCTTACAAATTTTTTGAGGCCTTGTAACTCTAAGGTGAACAAATTTCTGTTCGAAACAAGCTTATGTTCATTGTTTCCCTAACACTAGCTAAGTGTTTGCTAGCTCCAGTGACTTTACTGTATACCAGCATAACCTGAAAGCCGTTAGCTTTAAAAAGAAGCCACAGGTGCAAGTTTATCTGTAGACTTCATGCAGAGCTTGTGTGATTTGGCTTTTACCAGTGGTCAGTGTCAAGCCTCATTCCTGGAGCTATTAGATAAACGAGATTCAGATCAAAGTGCTTAAAACACATGCGTTTCTGCTGTTTCAGTAGGAGACAGAGCTCTCGTTATTTGTTGATCAGGCAGAGATTGAAACACATAGTATGTACTGACTGATGAGTAATAGTGGTAGGTGCCTACTGTAACAGTAATGGAATTAGTGCTCTGATCGCACGGCATCTTCACTCTTAATAGAGCCTCTGAAAAAGAGTTTGAACAGGTGTCAGTTAAATCAATTGGATTTTGCTTTGGAGTGAAGTGAAAGGGAGCAAAAAGCAGTGCCAGGAGTCCATCAAAAGATTTTATTGCTGTTGAAACCAAGGGGTTTCCCAGAGAGAGGAACTGTGTGTTGGACATGAATAGTAATTTGTGATAGGAGTAGTCCTACTCTGGATGCTCACATCCCTGACTTGCGGACATCCAGTGAGAGTAGGGCGTTTATGTAGAACTTAAGAACATAGTAGTAATACTGTTTAATTTCTTACGGATTTTAAGGTCTGTGATGTTTGTCCTAGGCAGTTCTTGTTACCGAGGCAGCCTTCGTCTTGGTTCGATGCGTGGATTCTAAAAATATGTGAAAGGGAGCCTTTTGTTATTTAAATGGTCTGGCTCAGTTTAGAGTTCACGGTGAAGCCCAAAACCGTACAGCCCCTTTCCTTTTTTTATTTTTCCATAGAAATGTCTGTGTTCAGCATTACATAGATAATAGGCTGTTTGGAGCTAATCAGGGTGTATATAAGCTGGTGATAGGGAAATATTTATGACTGGATAGTCACAAGTGCTGTGCAATGTTATATCACAAATCAAGGATTTTGTTAACCTATTTGTGATGAACAGTATTGAACCAGAGGTTGCATGGAATCCCTACAGTATTATAAACACTTAAATATGATTAGCCCCATGGTGATGGCAGTTCAGTTTCTCTGAGCATGAGCATTTTAAAAATTACTCTTATTTGTAGAAACAGTTTTTTTAAAAGAAGCTGGGTGAGCATAATCCCGATTTTCACAAAATTTGCGTTTAGTAGTATATGCAATGCCAAATGCTGATCTGGTCATTTTAGAATACAATGGTACTGCTGTCTACAAGCAGTGTGACTTGATCGTTTGTCCCGCAGGTCACCAAGATGCCTTTGTCTTAATGTTGTAGCTGTTGATGTTGGTGCATGATGTTTGAACCATACACCAAAGGTGCTGTTAGGTGATTTATTTATTTATTTTTTTCTTTTCCTGAGTTACATGCTCATGGAAGTCACCTCTGTCAGCTTTATTCTTCCCAAATTATTTACATAGCCAGAGAGGTAATCGGCACAAGTAGACAGCAGAGTTGGAGAAACGGTATGCGATAGTAACCAAAAGAACTAATGAGAGAACTAAGAGATGTTGTAGGTAGGGAGTTGCTTGAGGAAGGTTGACTCTTAAAATGATGTCATTTGGGAGGAAATTTTCTCAAGCGACTCTGTGTGTAACGTATTTCAGTAAATTTCAGAAGTCAAGTTCTTGCTCAAAAGAAGCTGCAGTTCAAAAAAGGGCTACAGTTTTGTGAGTATACACGAAGCAAATTCATTTTGATGTGCGGGATCTTGATATGCAAGTGATTATGCCATTTTTGTAGGGTTTTTTTGCAGTTAATAATGACCACTTATGCATGCAAGTCAGTTTACTGAACGTATAATTGTTTTGCAGAGATTGCTGTTTATGAAAATGCTAATTTTATAAATGCAGTACTTTTATATGAAATCAGAAACCGTATCTGCTGAGCGCAGCCAACAGAGGCAGCGAACAGACGCAGCAGTTTGCGCAGCAGTGTCTGGGCTCTGCCTGGGCCTTTTGTGGGCCTTGTTGGAAGTTGTGGAGACTTTCTGGGGACCCCCGAGGAACTAGACGGTGCTTGCTGCTAGCAGGAAGGGAGAGCTGGGCAAGGACTCCTGCAGGGGACCTTGACTTAACTTCCCCTGGGAAGTTCTAGCTAGGTGGGGCTGCTGCTAACGAGCTCTCTGGGCTGCCCTGGTCAGAGGGAGCTGGGGCTTTTGTTTCAGGTGGCTCCTGATTGGGTGGGTCAAGCACCCTTGTGAGTCACTGCTAGGCAGAGGCCTATAGAAGAGCCAGGCCTAGAGCGCAGCTCCCAGAGCGCAGCCAACAGAGGCAGCGAACAGACGCAGCAGTTTGCGCAGCAGTGTCTGGGCTCTGCCTGGGCCTTTTGTGGGCCTTGTTGGAAGTTGTGGAGACTTTCTGGGGACCCCCGAGGAACTAGACGGTGCTTGCTGCTAGCAGGAAGGGAGAGCTGGGCAAGGACTCCTGCAGGGGACCTTGACTTAACTTCTCCTGGGAAGTTCTAGCTAGGTGGGGCTGCTGCTAACGAGCTCTCTGGGCTGCCCTGGTCAGAGGGAGTTGGGGCTTTTGTTTCAGGTGGCTCCTGATTGGGTGGGTCAAGCACCCTTGTGAGTCACTGCTAGGCAGAGGCCTATATAAGAGCCAGGCCTAGAGCGCAGCTCCCAGAGCGCAGCCAACAGAGGCAGCGAACAGACGCAGCAGTTTGCGCAGCAGTGTCTGGGCTCTGCCTGGGCCTTTTGTGGGCCTTGTTGGAAGTTGTGGAGACTTTCTGGGGACCCCCGAGGAACTAGACGGTGCTTGCTGCTAGCAGGAAGGGAGAGCTGGGCAAGGACTCCTGCAGGGGACCTTGACTTAACTTCTCCTGGGAAGTTCTAGCTAGGTGGGGCTGCTGCTAACGAGCTCTCTGGGCTGCCCTGGTCAGAGGGAGTTGGGGCTTTTGTTTCAGGTGGCTCCTGATTGGGTGGGTCAAGCACCCTTGTGAGTCACTGCTAGGCAGAGGCCTATATAAGAGCCAGGCCTAGAGCGCAGCTCCCAGAGCGCAGCCAACAGAGGCAGCGAACAGACGCAGCAGTTTGCGCAGCAGTGTCTGGGCTCTGCCTGGGCCTTTTGTGGGCCTTGTTGGAAGTTGTGGAGACTTTCTGGGGACCCCCGAGGAACTAGACGGTGCTTGCTGCTAGCAGGAAGGGAGAGCTGGGCAAGGACTCCTGCAGGGGACCTTGACTTAACTTCTCCTGGGAAGTTCTAGCTAGGTGGGGCTGCTGCTAACGAGCTCTCTGGGCTGCCCTGGTCAGAGGGAGTTGGGGCTTTTGTTTCAGGTGGCTCCTGATTGGGTGGGTCAAGCACCCTTGTGAGTCACTGCTAGGCAGAGGCCTATATAAGAGCCAGGCCTAGAGCGCAGCTCCCAGAGCGCAGCCAACAGAGGCAGCGAACAGACGCAGCAGTTTGCGCAGCAGTGTCTGGGCTCTGCCTGGGCCTTTTGTGGGCCTTGTTGGAAGTTGTGGAGACTTTCTGGGGACCCCCGAGGAACTAGACGGTGCTTGCTGCTAGCAGGAAGGGAGAGCTGGGCAAGGACTCCTGCAGGGGACCTTGACTTAACTTCTCCTGGGAAGTTCTAGCTAGGTGGGGCTGCTGCTAACGAGCTCTCTGGGCTGCCCTGGTCAGAGGGAGTTGGGGCTTTTGTTTCAGGTGGCTCCTGATTGGGTGGGTCAAGCACCCTTGTGAGTCACTGCTAGGCAGAGGCCTATATAAGAGCCAGGCCTAGAGCGCAGCTCCCAGAGCGCAGCCAACAGAGGCAGCGAACAGACGCAGCAGTTTGCGCAGCAGTGTCTGGGCTCTGCCTGGGCCTTTTGTGGGCCTTGTTGGAAGTTGTGGAGACTTTCTGGGGACCCCCGAGGAACTAGACGGTGCTTGCTGCTAGCAGGAAGGGAGAGCTGGGCAAGGACTCCTGCAGGGGACCTTGACTTAACTTCTCCTGGGAAGTTCTAGCTAGGTGGGGCTGCTGCTAACGAGCTCTCTGGGCTGCCCTGGTCAGAGGGAGTTGGGGCTTTTGTTTCAGGTGGCTCCTGATTGGGTGGGTCAAGCACCCTTGTGAGTCACTGCTAGGCAGAGGCCTATATAAGAGCCAGGCCTAGAGCGCAGCTCCCAGAGCGCAGCCAACAGAGGCAGCGAACAGACGCAGCAGTTTGCGCAGCAGTGTCTGGGCTCTGCCTGGGCCTTTTGTGGGCCTT